TTTCCAGGTGAGCAGCACCAGCAGTGTCACTTTTAGGATCATGCCTTTGTGCCTGCACTAGCATGGTAAGAACAAGCTTCCTGTGTACTGCTCCTTGGCACTGTTGACTCAGCTGACAGGATTGTCTTCCACAGTCTGATTCCCAGACCACAATGACCTGTCAAGGGTTGTCCCCTTGGAGTGGACTGAACAAAAGGAAACAGCACATGAAACTCCTTGCCTTCTGTCTTAGGCTACAAAGATGAGTTGTACCCAAAAGTATGTATTCTAGCAGCATCTTCATCAGCTATTAAAACCACATGGGGCAGTATTCCTTGTCTCCTTCATTACTCATCCTGGATATTTCCAGGGGATATCTTTTGTTAATTGGCCATTGAGTGTCACTGCATGACTGATAAAATTACATCATCCCATTGTGAGATGCTCCACCCAGGGGGAGGAACCAAGCATTCCGACCTGCATAAAATCTGAGACTTGTAACAGTCACAATCAGCCTTATCCACTGAATTCCCAGGGGACAAGAGTTCCATAACCACCACTGGACCTTCAGAGGAAGAACAAACCCTTCTACAGGATCGCTTCTTCAACAGAACCACATCTATCTCTTCTAGAGGACAGTAGCCACCAGTTAATTGGACTGCTACCAACACCCGGACTAACAGGGTGTCAGGTTGTATTTTGACTCTGTCAGTGTTTCTGTAGTATAACATTTGTTTTAATTTTCCTATTAAATTGTATTTCTGACTTGGGATCTCCCACTGGTTTACTTTCAAGCAATAACACCCCTCTAACATTCAAAATGGGATGTAAATTGATGAATCTGGGGAAGTGTGCTCTGTCCAAGTGTGCTTGTGATGGAGCTGGTGGGTAATTACTTTGCAATGTGCTTGCTGAGATCTGCAAGCTTGGTGGGATGGAAATTGATGAATCTGGGGAAGTGTGCTCCGTCCAAGTGTGCTTGTGATGGAGCTGGTGGGTAATTACTTTGCAATGTGCTTGCTGAGATCTGCAAGCTTGGTGCCCTGATTCACCCCTCACTTCTGGGGTGCCTTCCTGCTTTGGCACTGTGTACAGGAGGCATCAAGTTCTGGTTCTGGCTGTTCTGCAAGAGCCACATCACTACTCTAGCTCCTTGCTGCCTGCATAAGTCCAGATGCTTTAGAGAGGCTTTGTTAAAATTTCTGGAGGAAAACCTCTTAGAGGTGCTCTGCCAACGCAAAGCTATCAGTGTGGCATTGCTGCAGCACACTCACATTTTTTGTGTCTGATCACTGTGCCATGGTGACACTGAGTGCAGACTTTGCTCTCAGAGGTTTTGTTTTCTCATGCGTGAATGGCCTTTGCACTGTGGTGTTTCTCATTTGGCAGCTGTCCCAGAGCCCTGCGGAGCCAGCAGCGGGTGATGCGCAGTGAGCTCGGAGGATGGGCATGGCAGGTCATCGTGGGACAACGTGGCTTCTTCCCATTGTCCTCCTTTTCCTTCAGATGAGGCAGACAGGTAGAGTGTTTGCTTTAACTTGGCTTTGTGCTGCTTTGCCTAAGCCACACAGGCAGTTGTCAACATTCTTGCTTTGTGGGGCAGGGGACATGAGTGAACAGCCGGTGGCTTTGCTGTCTCACCCACCTTGCTTCCCTTTGCCAGCTGCAGTGTAATGATATCCAGAGCTGAGGCACATGGGGAATTCCATTTTGGAGTGACAATTGTGTCAGTGTAAATTATGGGGTCGGTATGTTGATATGTAGTATTTTCAAATGCTCAGCACAATTAATGGGCTAATTCTCATATTCTCAGGAAGCACAATAATTAAATAACCCTTACTATCCATTTGTAAGCTACTGAGGGACAAAATTATGCTCACAATTTTTAACTGTACAGAGAAGAACAAGAACCCTACCCCATATGTTGCTGTGATTTTCTAATTAGCCACACAAACATCATATCTGGGCTTAATAAAATAAATTGTCCCACCTATTCTGACCCTCCTCCACAACAGGGGCAGAACAGGGGCTAAAATTTAGAAATTTGTCTTGTCTAAAGCAATGAGTTCTTAAGCAAGTGTCACTTTTCTGGATATCCTGCTTGTATGGAACAGTGCATCCTCGAGAATATATGTGAGGGGGTAATGCATTTTTTGCAGCAGAGCACTAAATGGGAAAGAGCATGTCAGTGAGCACCAGAAAAGAAATGAGATGGATGGGAGAAAGCTGCTAGATGACATGTGTCCCCAAGTACAGAGTTACCTCCCAGTCCTCCATGTAACTGTGGGGTCCTAGAGTCAGGTCAGCCAGTTGTGCCCAGGAA